GCCCAGCGCATACAGTGTTCATGTTTTGTTTTTTTTTCATCCAGACGGCTTCCCGCGCCCCCCCTGCAATGACACGGCACCCCCCCTAGGGGGCGCGCCCCACAGTTTGGGAACCTCTGGTATAGATAATGTCTGGCATGCAAATGACAGGTAAAGTCTAAAACCTGGAGAAAAGAAAAGTAGGAGCTCGAAGAGCAGCGGGGGCTGAAATACTTAGCTCATGTTGGTTTTCATAACAATACATAACATAACCAAAGCCAGTTCTCAATCTAAATCTAAATTTAATTTTTATCTTTGCCAAACGTAACCATAGTCTTGCTGAGTCACTTTTTTATGTATTTTGTTTATGTTTTGTGAAAATGTGACCAGTAAATTTTTCCTTCTGAGGATCCTTCTTCTTCCTGTGTCCATCAATTGACAAGATGAGCAACAGCGCTGGTCCATTTCAGCCGGTGGTGCTCATGGGATCTTGGTTGTCAGATCTACTAGTGCTTTGTTGATCTGGAGAAGGTTTATGTCTGTACTCCATACTTTTTCAGTAAAAAAAAAGTATGGGGTACAGAACTGTTTTAAAGTCTATGCATTCCTTATATAGGCTTAATTGGTTTTTTAAAAAAGCAAAAAAACTTGCAAGTTTGAGCTGTTTTCAATATGAAATTTAGTTTTCCATTGCACTTTTCTCTCAATGAAAATTTGGTGAAATAATGACTTTCACCTGAAAAAATCCATCACTCAGATTGCATTGCCTTATACTGAAGTATAAGGCAATGCTTCAGTATAAGCATATTCTCACTTAGAGAATGCTAAGTGGTCAGTGAGAACAATGCAATGCCATGTCTACTGGTTCTGCAACATTTACTGCTGAGAACATTGCCCATTAATATAAATATATCGATCTGAGGTTTTGCTCCAGGCAAGCATCAGACCAAATCTCCATGGACAGATTATAGGAAGCGGAGGCTATAAAGCAGACTGGAGCAAAATCAAGAAATAGGTGACAAGACAGAGGACACACAGTTGGACATATTTATAGAAGGTGAGAAACTGATACTGCAAGTGTGCGGCAAAAGGCGGAGAAACCGATAGGGAGCGAAAAGAGAGGGAGTGGGTTGGGCTTTAGGTATGGGAGAACAACGGCACATCAGGGCAGTGGGACAGAGACGGAATCAGAGAAACGAGAAGAGAGGAGGGAGAGGAAAGTGCCTGCTTAAGTGCCTGTAAGTGTGTGTATGCGTGAGTGTGTGCATGTATCAGTATGAAATCAGAGTGAGATGCTGGGAGAGGATGAGGAGTAACAGGGTGAGGCAGCTGCAAGAGGCGCTAAGTGTGTTTGTGTGTGAGGTTAGTGTGTGAGGGATGCAGTCATGTCTCTGTGAGAGGGAGCAGCACAGCAACGGTAACCATGCTGAGCCCCAAGATAAAACAGGCACGCCGGGGTAAGCACAATCCCTCCTCCTTTTCTCTTCCTTTTGCTCTCTCTGTCACTCCTGCTTTCTCGTGTCTTCCTCTCACTGTCTCTGCAAAGCTCCGTCTGTTATGTCTTTATAATATCACCGGCCGTTAGTGCTTTCATTGATAAAGGCATCAGTGTGAGTGCTTCAATACTATAGTTAAATCTGCACACTATGCCAGCTTGCGTCCTGGTCATCGTTGTAAACTGTAATTTGCAGAGCTTTATTTGATTTTATTATCTAAAGTCCTTGAACCTTCAGTTTTTCCCAGTATTCAGTTACAGTTAATATGCTCTACTACAGGGGTGATGTAATCTGTCATGTCTCCCACAAGTGATTAAATTATTACCCATCAAATTTGATTTTGCTGTACATGGGTTGTAGTAAACATGGCTGCTGGCAGCCTTCAACAATGCCCTGCACATCCTATGTGTTTTTCAGGGTGTACCCCAGCTGGTTGGTTGCGGCTCTTAACAGGTGACAAATTCTAGATCGGAGCAACTCTTGACTCTCTTCCTCCTCTAAAATCACAACAGCTGACTGTCAAACATAGTTCCTGTAATGCGGAGGAAAATCCAAACAAATGGAAAAAGCAGGCCAGTGTGAATGCACAGAGATGAACATGGAAGCTGTAAATCAGATGAACAGCTCCTGCCTCAGAAGTTATAATGAAGCAGAGTAGAGATACTTGGTGTGGTCTTCGCAGCAGGTGGTTCCTGGATCACTCATGCATGCCGTTTTAAGCTTGGAGTTGTTGCCCTTCCTCCTGGCATTTCCATTAAAGTACCTATCTTTACTTTTTATCTGGCTAAAAATTAAAACCCTTGAAGATTTTAAATTCACTAATCGAGCATGCTTTTGAAGTCAGGTCCATGGCCCATTTTCATACCCAAAACCTCAGATAGATTTGTAATTTGTAAGATGAAAAAAAATAGACAAAAAAGAGAAATTATCATTGCAATCTGTCTTTTACACATACCTCACTCATGATGAAAATAACTAACTTTGGAGTTTTCCTTCTTCTGCAAAAGCTTCCACACTGAAGGGCTTCCGCACTGAAGAGTGTTTCATATAAACTTCATATGCACTTACAGTTCCCTATGATGTTTTCACTGATTGTGAAAAATGTGATTTTGTGACAGTCAGACTGAAACTCATCAAATACTAGTCATTAGTCGATTATCTCTTTAAATAAAAGAAGAATGTTGTTTTACTCTAAAATTATTACAGATGGTGGAAAACAGAAATGCTTCTTCTTTCTCCTTCAGATGGATGGTGCAGTAACCTTTTTCAGTTCCCTGGCCAGTGGCCACGTCTTCTGACTTTCCATCCCTCATTTGTTGAGATGGTATTCTGCTTTGATTAGATTTCCAGCTCCTCTCTACTCCGTCCCTTTTTAACGTAACATCATTTATGGCAAATTCAAACAGCATCATTGAGTGGGGCGTGCTCTCTAAAATTGATAAAACAGACTCAAATCCCAGAAAGTTTAATAGCAAAACAAGTGCCAGAGGAAAATTTTATTTTCAGAACTGATGTGGCGTCTCTTAGTATGTGAACTGCTGGGTTATTTCCACAACAGTATCTGAGTAAATAAAGAAAACATATGATGTCATATTCAATAACTTAAAATATGCATTCCAATGAGGCAGATTTATTAGACCAAAAGTACTTTTTAGGAAAAAAAAAAGCATCCTTTATGCAACATACTTTTCATTAAGATCACATATCTGTTTATAAAAATGTTTTTATTTTGGTCGGATGTTTCATACTAAAAAAAGACCTGAAAACATCAATCTGTATGTAAATCTATACAGTGTTTCACTTAGTATACTGAATTACGGAATGAAATGAAAATTTCAATAACATATTAATTCATTGAATATGACTGTACTTTAGCTACATGATAATCAATTTGAGTTACTGTTTTCTTATCGCCATTTATATTCTGTCAAGCAACAAATTATATTACAACTATTTTATGCAACTACTAAATAAATAAAATAATGTCATATTTAAAAAAAATGGTGACATGCCATTATACTTCTGCTTTTCTGCTTACATCCAATGAAAACAAAACATTTAAGATTAGATTATTGCTTCAGATCAATAAATGCAGAATATAATTTTTAATACAGAAATGAAAAAAACTATATTTTTACCTGCCCGAGGTTTGGTAACTTCAAAATGTATGACAGCCTACAACTTTTAGCGTATATTCACTTGACCTCAAAATGGCAAAACTCAGGTCAGCAGAAACAGAAGCTTGTGTGCAAATAGGAAGTCTATCTTTAACATGAACTGTAGTTTGTTTGTTTTGTTTTGTTTTTTTGTCTGGTGTATTTTTGGTTAAAAAAATACACCAGAAATTACTTGCAATAGTATCCAGAAATTTTGCTTCAGTAAGAGCAGCAATGCTTTACAATGATATTACTTAAGCAAAACCTTGAGGTAGTAAAACTACTCCTAAAAATTTTTTATTTTCCAAAACATCAATCAAATAAAGCCAAGGCTTTTCATAAATTCCCAACATTTTGTGGTTGACTTCTATGTGTATGAATACTTTTGCCAAGCTGTACACATACATCTTATATTAATGCTTCAAACAGTTTTTAATTCATTTGCGTATCACTTTTGCTTAACATATTGCAAAAATATTAAGCCAGGTCATCAATTGAAACTCAGTTCTTCCTTTAGATTTCCTGTCTCTGTAATGAAGATGTCCAAGATGTGGCCATGTCTGCTATAAATATAGATCATGCTCCGCCTGCTTCTGATGTCAGCCTACAGTTTTACTAATGACTCCTCTGTGAGAGTTACAGTCTTCTCTCCTCTCGGCATGTATGACACTGCAAAGAAAGGACATCCAGAAAGAGGAGAAATGAAAGTCCAAACACAGAGCTGATAAACGAGACTGGATGAGGCGGGAGGGAGAAATGGAAAGAGAGATTTCTGTCCAGGCCCTTACAGATACCTTCCCTGCTGTCCTCAGCAGAATGCAGGATGCAATTAAAAGCAAAAAAAAAAAAAAAAGACGCCATTGATTCCTCCCTCCTCTCCTTCCCTCTCCCACTGCATTCTGCTTATGGCTCTCCATGACTCCCTGGAGATTATTACACTGGCACAGCTTTTTGCTCTAGAGCTTTGGCATATAGATGCTAATATATAATCCATACTTGTAATTACTCTGTGCCATGTGAAGCACAATATGAGCCAAAGCAGAGGTGTCCTGTCTGCAGCAGTGCAGCTTCAAGCTTGTTTATTGGTATTTGAAGGAAACAAATAAAATCTACAAAACATGTAAAGCCTGGATTTCAGTTAAAGGTGGGGTATCTGGTGTTATCCAGATACATATCTGGTGATATCACCAGATATCTAGTGTGATACCAGATATCCAGATACCCCAGCAAGATTTCATTTGAAAAAATTGCCAGTGCACAGCTATATGCTACTTTGAACTTCGTGGTTGTATATCCAGTACCAACACTATGTCCACTTAAAATAAATATAGAGAAAATTACACAACTCTACCAACTGAGAAACACAAAGGTCCTTCAAATCAAGGCTAAAATCCCATTTGTTTAGAGTTGCCTTTGTTTAATAAAGAGATAACATTGATTTTCTCATTTATTACTTTTTTTATTTTGTCACTAATGTGATATTTCCTTTTTGTTTGTTTATTGTGTTATGTTTTTTTTTATCGTGTTGAGAATTTTAACTGCCTTATTGCTAAAATGGGCTATGCTAAATAGAACTGACTTGATTGAATTCATTCTATAAAAAGTGGAGAAGTTCAAATGGGATGACAATTTTTCCTCAGGGAACTGTGTCCTTATCGTTTTTCTGATTATCTTAATACCTCAATGTTACCTCAATGTTTGTGTCTGTGCAGCACGATCCAAGAGCATGGTGCTTGGAGAGTTGTCTCGACTCTCCAGGCCTTGCTCTCCTCAGGATCAAGAGAAACCCTTGAAAGCAGGCTGGCTGAAGAGGCAGAGAAGTATCATGAAAAACTGGCAGCTGCGATGGTTTGTCCTGAGGTCTGAAGCTCTGTACTTCTACAAAGACCAAGATGAAAGCAAGGCACAGGTGATAATACCGACAACAAAAAATTCACATGAAGAGGGCACAAACATGATGCACACCCCAATTAAAGTGCCTTTTTTAAAAGTGTTACATAAAGTGTTTTGTATGGACCTATTCACTAATAATGCTTTAAGAAGCTGGTTTGTCATGTAAGAGGCTGACTTTTAGCCATCTTACAGTACATCCGGAACCACCCCAGGAATAAGCAGATGAAGAGAAGTTCCCCTGAATCATTCTTGCTTTAATCTCAATTACCTCTCACTGTTGGACAGTTGCCCAGCATCCTGTATGCTCACTACTCCACAATGTTTAACATGCACTTCGCATTCAAGTCCACCCCTCTGCCTGTCTTTCCCTCTATCGTGCTGCTGTTTCATTTCTCCTACAGGGCTGCATTCCTCTTCAGGGCAGTCAGGTCAATGAGGTCTCAGCCCATCAAGATGAGCCAGGTCGCCATCTTTTTGAAATCGTTCCAGGTGAGCTGGCAGGGTACCATGTCTGTTGTGTAAGGTTGTACAGTTATCCTTGTTCAAGGGATGCTTGAGCAAGGATTCCAACTATCATTTTTTCAGAATTATTGTTCAAAACTCATTTTAAAATACAAAAAACCACGTTTTCACTTGTCATTGCTATTGCAAAAGGTACTGAAATGTGTTTATTTGTATTGCTGACTGCTTAATCTGTTCTGCTGGAACATGAATGTGGTTTGTTTTTGACAGCCACAGTAGAAGGTCACTGTTGGTATGACATGACTTGCAAAACAAAATTATTTTTAAACTACATAAATGATATTTATAATTCTACATATTTGTAATTATTTCCTATTTTTCGTTTAATTTAAAACTGGACTAAAACAACAGATGCCTTGGGAAAAGACTTTTGGATCTTTTCCACATATTAGCTGATGCCTTTTTTTATGACTTGACACTGGTATGCTTTTGGTTCGTCCATGAACTTGAAATAAATACTCCCTTAGTGGTGTTGCTTTGCAAGATTCTTACTTTCAAAGTGCACCTTTCCTACCTTTCCCTAATAATTCACAACCTTCCACCTAGTGCAGGTTTCAGATTGCCTCACTATGTGATTTTGGTTAATTGCATACAAAAGCACAGAAAATGTGCTTAGAAAGCAATTTGTAAAATGTGGGCTTATATTTGCAAAATCAATCCCAATTTTAATATAGGAAATGCAGCCAGTGTTTGCATTATGGAGATAGCAGAGTGAGAAGATACAGAGGGCAGATTCCTGGACAGAAAGAACTGAGTGAGAGGCATGGTGCAGTAGCTGCTGCTGTCTCCAGGGAACACTACCCTTTCTAGGTTGGTTCCCCTACACACAAAGCACACTATAAACCGCAATGCAGGGCATAACAATAAGTGCACATAATCATATGTAAAAATCAAATTCCCGAAAGCATATGTTGGACTGCTGTACCACTAATAAAATATTTATGCCTGTATTCCAAATTTTGTTTTATTTTCTTTCTGAAGTTAGGTAGTCCTTTATGTTCACAAAGCCACTTAAAGGGAAGTCAAAGCTGTCGTGAGATAAAACAAATGCCAAAGCGAAATGTCAAACAGGATGACCTCCTGCTGACTGAACTAACAAGAAAGAAGCCGAGCTCATGCCATGCTTTGTACTTTACATGGGCGCTTGGTTTTCAAAGGTTATTGAAAACACTGGTAGTGATAATTATTGATTGACTGATAATTTAGCATCAGTCTTCTACATAAAATCCCAAAAGTGGAGTGGGCGGTGGAAGTGTGATAAAATGACCAAAGGTTCAAGAGGCATCAAAAGTGTATCTCATTTTATCTTTTTTTACTCACTCTAATCTGTGTTTTCAGGGGGAGCTGGAGAAAAGGATCGTAGCAACACAGGCCATGAATCCTTCCTACTAATGGCCAACTCACAGAGTGACATGGAAGAATGGGTCAGAGCCATACGCAGAGCCATCTGGGCTCCACTTGGTGGAGGTGTGATTACATCAACACACATTTCCATGAATCCACTAAAGAACACTCTTTTGCAGTGTGCATAACAGAAAATATAAATCTATTAGCTTAGATTTTTTTTGTGTTGTGTGACTGCAGGTGTTTTCGGTCAGCATCTACAGGCGACAATGTCATATGAGTCACAGTGTGGCCCTCAGCGAGAGGTCCCCGTGCTAGTCGAACTGTGTGCGAGCTTTATACGTGAACAAGGACTCAAGGAGGAGGGTCTTTTCAGAGCACCTGGGCAGACCAACCATGTTCGAGAACTGCAGGATGTTTTTGACCGTGGCGAAATCCCTGTTTTTGATAGGTGAGGGAGCAGAAGGGGTCATACTATGCGTACAATATGTTATTCCATTATCCATGTTAGTTTGTTATTTTAAAATCTGCACCATTTTTCCCCAACAGTTCCACAGACGTCCACACAGTGGCATCACTGTTAAAGCTGTACATACGAGAGCTGCCAGAGCCTATAATCCCATTCTCCAAATACTCACAGTTTCTATCCTGTGCTCAGCTTCTTAGCAAGGATAAAGAAACGGTACAATTCTCATTTGAACTCTTTTCATCTTATTGTTTCAAAGTTTTCCTGGACATGAACATGTCATTTTTTTGTTTCTTTTGTTAAAGGCCATCACAGAACTAAGCAAACAGGTGAAATCCCTCCCTCAGGTCAACTATAACCTCTTGAAATACATCTGCAAGTAAGTTTAACTTATGCATCTGTGGAAGTATTTGTTGTGATTGCAATGGTCTTGTTGCCGCTTTGTGATTTAGGAATCAGGGAAATTACTTTCATTCACACCCACATCGTTGTCACCAGAGGACATCACTGACTTCATGATGTCTATTCTGTCTTCTGAATCACTAAATAACAGGCTGAGCCCACACACATCAACCACATAATTCAAACCTTCTTCCAATAGCTGTAGCAGAAACAATGGCCTTAACATTTCTGAAATAATTTTGATACTGCCAGACACTTAGTGTATACCAATCACAAAACGACTCAGGTTTTGTTGAAAAACTAAGTCCAGAATTCATAATTCTTAAGCTTTGAGCCACATACGGGATCTATAAACTATGTTTAAAAGAATGCTAACATCAGCAAACATACAAACAGAAACAAAAAGTATATACAAAAGTTAGTATATTACTCACCTTAGCTGTTATGCTAGTTTTAAACTGAAAGCTTCAAACAGTATGTTACCTATCAGCTAATTACTGCTATCACCTTCTATGTTATGTGTAGCTTACATTAAAATGTGAGTTAAAATGATAAAATTAGCATGCTAGCTTTCCTTATAAAACACTGGTGAGGTAATCTACAAACGTCTAGGTTGCGACTAGCCAACCATGCAACAGCTGTTACAAACTGCATTTGTAACAGCTATGTTTCAAATATAGGCCTATGCTGTTGTGCTTACTCTTGCAGCTATATATACTCTGATGTCACGCACAATAGCGTGTGACATCAGAGTATTCTTGATTGGCTATTTGTCAATAGCTAAAATATTGTGGTTAGCTAATAAGCAGTTTTACTGTGTTGATTAACAGTTGCATACAGCAAATAGTAACTAATGCTATATATTGCTGTTCTTGGGGTTATCTTCTCAGGTTTTTGGATGAGGTTCAGTTGCAGTCCAATGACAATAAGATGAGTGTTCAGAACCTGGCCACTGTTTTTGGACCTAATATTCTTCGGCCAAGAGTGGAGGATCCTGTTACAATGATGGAAGGTTGGAGATTATTTAGCATAAGTTACACAAATCAGGCTTACCATTATGACCACTGACAGGTTGCATAGTTATCTGTTCTATATGGCACCCGTTATTGGTTATGCACATTTTTTGTACTCAAAGTTGATGTGCTAGCACCCCAGAGTTGACGTGCTAGCACCCCAAAGTTGATGTGCTAGCACCCCAAAATTGATGTGCTAGCACTCCAAAGTTGATGTGCTAGCACCCCAAAGTTGATGTGCTAGCATAATGTGTGGTCATAATGTGATGCCTGATATGTGAAAGCTAATTTGTATCTTTTTAACACCTTCCATTTAACGCCCACTACATGTCTCAAGTATTGGTATTTTCTAATGTATCTAGGAAGTTCCCAAGTGCAACATTTGATGACTGTCCTGATCAGTGAACACTCTCGACTATACCCAAATGAGGATTCCAAAACTGAGGTCAGATCTCTCCCACCCCAACATGAGCTCAAACGATCCAAAGTAGAATGGGTTTCACAAGAAGAAACAAACCCACCAAATACTACAAGTGTAAACTCTACAAATCTCAAAGAAAACCAGATACCTTCCAGTGTTTTGATGGACAGTGAGCTGCCTACATCTAATCCTCTCGCATGTGAGAAAGATGAGAACAGCCAGACTAAGGGCAATGATGTAAACAAACTGAATGAAAAAGGAGATGAAAAAGAAAATATCAAAACTGAAGGGGAAAGCGAAGTTGCTGTTAGCCCTAGCAAACAGGCCAAAGCTCTACCTTCATGGAGGTGTTCCTTCAAGGGCAATGTAGTCTCTGGAGGGTCAAAGGGGAAAATGGGAGGCTCAGCAGGGGACGTGTCGGCATCTGGTGGGAGCAACTGGCTGATGAATGGCCTGTCGTCCCTCCGTGCACATAGACGCACGACCTCATCCAGTGAAAGAGTGAAAGACTCTACATTGTCTCTGAAGGATTCAACCCAGTCTCTTAAAGAAACCACTCTACAACTCAAGGACACACAAAGAGACTATGACCTAGAATCCCCTCAAACATCCCACTGTCACAGAGTCCTCCACAAATCTCACAGACTCTCTGCCTATGACAATGTAGCTCCTTCCAGCCTAAGCCTGCCTGCTGACGCTTCGTCTATCTGGACACCCTTTGAGATCTCGCTGTCGGACACAGAAGGAAGCAATAAGTCAAAAAAGCTAGAACAAGATGAAGAGAGAAACACTGAGGTGGGAAACGGAACAAATGATGAGGAAGGTGCAGGAACAAGTGAAGAAATCCCAAACAAGCTGACCCAACTAAAGCAGGAGCTGAAAAAACAGAAAGTGAACTATGAAACCCGCATTCGCAAGTAAGACTAATCATTTTATATTGACTTACTCAAATACCCAATCAAATCTGCTAAATTAATAATGCATCTTTCTCTCTCCTTTGAGGCTGGAGGAGTCCTGTTCGAAATACCAGTGCCAGGTAAGCCGCCTCGAAGAGGACCTGGACCAGGAGAGGAAGAAGTGTCACATGTTGGAGATCCGACTCAGGAATTCAGAGCGGGCACATCAGGATGCAGAAAACCGAAATGTTCTCCTCCAGAGAGAAATGGAGGAATTCTTTAAGACTTTTGGAGAACTAACAACAGGAGCAGCAAGGACCAACTAGACCTGACCAAACTGCCTTTATTTGGTCCTGGAGGCAATCAGTCACTGGGAGTACCAACCAGTCCCAAAGCTTTTTAGAAAACATACCTCTAGTGCAATGCCGATAGCCATGTTTTCCACTTCAGTGTGGCTGTCCTGTGCCTATGCGGACCAGTACTGGTGCCAAACAAGAACTTCCCTGGACCAAGAACGTATTTTGCCATTCCATAAAATATATCTCAAGAATGCAGTCTAAATTTCTACCTGAATGACAAGGAATCCTAAAGCACTGCAGCATTACTACCCATACAATTTTAAGTCCCGTTTCTTCCTGACTTTGAATGAAAGAAAAATGTAAGACTTTAACAATAACTGTCTTAGTTAGGTGATTTCAGATTTAAAAGTCAAAAGCCACTCAGCTAACCTTTCAAAAAATCACACCACTTGAGGGCAGCTTTGTTGACAATGTTTGTCCAACTCTAAGTAGACTGCTACATCATCCAAGTGGTTCTAGATAGCATTTTCTTTAAATTGTACCTGCACTAATGCTAAGAGAATTTGTGAAAAACTGTTTTGGCAGCATTACTTTTTAAACAATATCCTAGTGCATCACAATAAATTAGAACATCACCAAAAGGGTAATTCTATTAAAAACTTTGGTAACACTTTATTTGAAGGGGGTTGAATAAGACTGACATGACACTTTCATTAACATGACATAACACCTGTCATGAACATGAATAAGCCTTCATGAATATTTATGACTGTTGTCATAAAGCGTCATTCGGTAAATTATGACACTTTTAATACAAAGTTGACATTATTCAAAATGTCTTTGTTATCACAACTTGACATTAACCAAGAAATCATTACTGTTTAAACTTTACCTTTAATAACATAAAGTTACCCAATTTTTAAAGTGCAATCAGTAATACTTTTATAACACATTTATATCAGTAATGATTTCTTGGTTAATGTCAAGTTGTCATAGCAAAGGCATTTTGAATAATGTCAACTTTGTATTAAACGTGTCATAATTTACCGAATGACACTTTATGACAACAGTCATAAATATTCATGAAGGCTTATTCATGTTCATGACAGGTGTTATGTCATGTTTATGACAGTGCCATGTCAGTCTTATTCACCCCCCTTCAAATAAAGTGTTACCAAAACAGTAAACTCATTAAACATAGAGAAATATGCAGTATTTCAAGTGTTCATTTCTGATATATTTGATAATGGTTTATAGCTGACGCAAACCCAAAGTTCACGTTCTCAAAAAATGTAATATTACATATGACAACAAGAAGAATGTTTAATAGGAAAATTTCTGCATACTGAAACTGTCTGTTATGATACAATATATGGACTCAGTACACGACTTGTGTTCCTTGTGCATGAATACTACCTCCTAAGGCTGTGTTTTGGTTCTTCATCTTTTTTCTACTGAACTATTTCTTCCACTCAACTTTCCTGAATGAAAGGCTGTCATCAGTCAGACAAAATGACAAGTTCTCCATGAAAATCTTTTTAAAAATGTGTCTAAAATAATAATTTAATTTTACAGGAAATGTGGGTTTTAAAAACTTTAAGGAGTTCAAAATGAACAGAAATGAATGCTTGAAATATAGTACTTTGCCTGTTCACATTGGATTCATATTCACATTCACAGTTACTCAAATAAATAAACTTTTCAAAGTCAGTTAATTTATTGAGATGCACCCAAATGTGAGTAAAATCTTACTGAAGGTAGTGCCGGACTTGTAATGAAAGAACAAATGACTCAGGACAACTGTCATAATCTATAAAGTGCATTTAGGGAGATGGTACTAAAGGGTTAATAGCTGGAGCCATTGAGAATCTGAGCCATGAAACATATCCAGAGCTCACCATGGCAGAGACTGGAAAAGAATCACTGCATGATGCTCACAAAACACATCTACAGTCAAATGCAGACAGATCTCTGGCTACACTAATTCAAAAACTATATTACTTAAAACAGAAACAAAATGGATATGAATATCCCCAAATCCGATGTACATTATATACTAGATGTCTTCTAGCTTGAAATAAATAATGTGAAACAACATAAAATCTTCTTAGCTTTTGTTTTCAGTCAGTATGTACCATTATATTGTGTATTTAGAAATTAAAGTGTCTGAGTGGTTGATGGTATGAAGGTGGAGTCATAGAACTGAGGAGAATCTGAGAATCGCTGAACCGAGTAAGGACACTTTATATGGAAAAGGGTGGAGTGACTTATTTGGACTGAGTCTCTGGTTTCTTAAATTATAGTACCCTACTCTAGTCATTGAATACATGACAGATTTGGGCAAATTTAGTGGTAACCCTGGTAACAACGTGCAGATGGGATAGAAGCAGCCACCAATTAAATTAGTCTCAGAGCTGCACAATCTTACATTGAAAATTTGAGAAAAACACTAAATAAGTATTTCTGTCATTAAGAAATAATTGTTAACCAAATCACAAATGGACCATTTATGTACCCTTAACAATGTCTTTAATATACACATACCTGAAGTTATTTTTTATGATGCTTTACTTATTCAAGTTAATGAGCAAGAGCATCTAATTTGTCCTGAACTGATGGTTCAGGGTTACAAGTCCCTTTTCTTTAGTTTTTCAGAAGATGAAACGTTTTAAAATATTCAGAAAAGAGCAGGTACTAATATCGGTATCAATACTATTAAAATGAATTATCCCCTGCCCTCACAAAATAATTGTCCTTGAGGTAGAATTTTTATCAAAATTTCAAGTCAAGGAGTCAAGTTTCTATATTTTTCATGTGAGATCATGCAATTGCACTAAAATATATTTTTACAGCTTTTCAACACCTTTACTAGGGTGCCAATACATGTGGCGTATTCTGTATATTAGCTTTTCACAGCACTTCCCTGCTCCTTATAAATCAGATTTTTCTGCTCTACATTCAACCCTTCTTCTACAAATTATATTTATGTCTGCAAATAAGGGGGAAAAAAATCATAATTATACTATTTTATAGTAAAAAAATAAAGCCCTGTCATTAGATTGTTCAGATACACACACTCAGGCAGGTTTGTAAAAAGAAATATATTAGCTTGGACACACCAAGATCTGTTTTCTACAAGAAAACTTAGTAACAGCTTGAAAATGAAAATCATTAATTTGCATCATTACAGTTCAAGATGAAATGCGCTATAAACTACTGTCTGAGAGAACTGATATATGTTCCTTCCAAAGTTCACAAAAAAGCAAAAAATATATACTCAACATGATTTTGCAGTCAATACAATATGGTTTTTGACTGCAATAGTAAGTAAAAAAAAAAAAAAAAAAAGCAGGAGATAAAGTACACTCATATCCTTCCCATTACATACATCACAGTTTCACATCAAAACATTTTCGCATTTTGCCTCTTGCAGCAAAAATACAGTAATCATGATATCACCTTATTCAAACCACAATAATTTACAGCAGAACAGGTCAGGTAGAGAGATGGGGGTGGGGAGACAAAGAATAAACTGTACATCAAATCCTCAACTCTATAAACTAACAATTACCTAAACACTCTCCCGTCACACATACACACACGCTAATGAGGAAAGGTTTGTTTTGAGCATGTACAGTAGATGTGTGCTTGTGTAGTTATCTGCAGCAGGCCAGCGCACTGAGGGAGGTGTGGCTGTCCAAGCTGCTGTCTGTCTCCGAGCCCAAAGCGGGATCACTGCCGGGATCGGTCGGCTCTGTGGACATGGAGGAGACGTCGTTGGCTGAGGAGGAGGAGGAAGAAGAGGAGGAAGACGTGGGCTGAGGAGGACTGTCGATCACTGCTGCACCTGTGCTGCGAAAAACAGGCAAACGCATAGGTTTCACTGAAACATAAAGAGCACTGCCATTTTCTGATGAGCTCAGACTTTAGAGGGGGACCACAGCAGCTAAAGATCTAAATGCAAAATTGTGATTTTTACAAAATTTAGAACATAAAGAAAATAAAAAAATGACTTAAAGTTTTGCTGTCTTTTAAAAATTCGTACATCCATCTCAAGCTGAACAATGTGCATAAAAAAATGCTACAAATGTTTTAATTTCCAGCTATTTTCTCATAAGTAGGTTATGCTATTATGAGCAAAAACTGATGAAATTACTTGCATCATTCATAATTACACCACAATTTATTGCACTTATTTAACTGAACAAATCTTCAAAAATAAAAAGCGTCCCTTCATAAAATGCTGTAAAAACGAAAAAGCATTCTGCATCCCTCAGCACAACCATAAAGCCATGCTTAACTCAGCTGCAGAGACTAATGTGACAAAATTCTGCAGCTTTCAGCAGAGCTGCATGTTCTTCTCTCAGAGAAGAAATCATGGCTCGAGCAACACGACTGTAAAGAATAAAAAGAGCTAAAAATCCTGTTCTTAGAATACACCAAACAACTACCAATATTTATCAGCTGTGGCAGTTTTTCAAGTCAGTTCTGAAGAAGAATATATATAAGACACTTGTGTCGTATAAAAACAAATGTATATTAGGTAGTGTCATTGTAAAATTTTACATTTACCTTGGGGCTGCACAGCACATTATTCTTGGTTTGATATAATTGCAAAATAAGGAATCTTTACCAAATATTTAATCTCAATGACATAAGTTCATATAATTAACATGGTGGTGCATCTGCTCTAATTCTCCCATATTTTAACTAATCCAAGTTATAGTGATTACTCACCTAAAGCAGTGGGTTGACCTCTGATAACTCCATTTTTTGTTCGTTCCTCCCATTCGATCACTTCCTTATAAATTAGCTCTGGAAAACAAAACGAGCAGCAAAGGGTCAAGGTAAGCTCAGTGGTTTAATGGAAATTGTCGATGGGTATATTCAGGAACATCAAATCTTTTTCCTAAGGTTGGGGTGCATAACATACTGCTCATCCCAAAACAACATCACGATTCTAATTTGGACTGGGCATGCTGGTGTGTGACCCTTCTAAAAATGAGTGAGAGGGTCATTATCACCTGACAGGCATTGAGATGAGCTCATCTTGCTGCACGACTGAAACTGATATTTAATCACAGTCTTTCCTATGCAGGACAGAATCATATTCCTCACAGTAGAAAAACATAAACCGGCCTTTTAAAATGCTTTTAACTCGTAACAAATCCAAATATGAAAAGAAAAAAAAAAATCAGTTATTCTTTTCCATACATATAGTAGCTCACAAATGTTTTCATACCCCTTAACTTTGTCACATCTTATCAAACTACTGTGTATGTTATTGGAATTTTTGTGATAAAATTAGTGTTTCATTATACAGTGGAAGTGAAATGTTTCAAATAATTTTATCAATATAAATCTCCTAAGTGTGGCATAGTCTCCCATTGCAATGTCATGTTTTGTTTTATAAATTACCTAAAAAATAAATTACTATTATTTTTATTTTTTAAAACTAAGTTTAAATGATAAAGGCAATCAAAAAAAATTTGCTTGGAGCATTTTCAGGGAGGGAAACTTTGGTGCATCTATGCATCGTTATTCATGCGTTTCAAACTAAGTCAACAACAAGTGAATCTGTTAAGTGCAGAGCTAGGAAGATAACCAGGTTGTCTAACCTTTCCACTCCTCCACAGTGTGCTCTCTTTCATCCAGTGTCCTGTCTGGGATCTTTGGAGGCGGCTAAAAATAAAACCAGAACAGAAAAGCAAATTTGATTTGAATAGCATCCTGGTACAGCAAGAGAAATGGCACGTTACGCAATGTGACAAACGCTTGTGTATTCTGCTCATCTCTCCAGAGATCCACTCACCGCTTCCACTTCAGCGGGATCGTACCAAACATTAATATATGGGTGGTGCAGGGCTTCATCCACAGAGATGCGCTTTGACGCATCAATCACCAGCATCTTGGATAACAGGTCTCTGGCTTGGCTTGCTGCAACAAGATACAACAAGCAGATATGGTGCAATGGTATTCATAAGAAACAAGGAAAAATCAATTTGCATTTCTTGTACAGAGGATGTTGCATACCTTTCAGTTTGTTGTGATCAGAGTCAGCAGGGAAGAGCACATCTGGGAAGAGCTTCTCAAAACTGTATCCGGCGTACCGCGGTCTGTTTTCTACATACGTTCTCACTGAGTGGTTCAGTTTCATTAGAAAATCCTGAGATGGAGTGCCTAGCTGCTCAATCACCTTGTTCCACTGGTCGATATCTGATGTGGAAATGTTAAAGGAAAGGACCTCACAGAAACACACGATACCAGAAGGGCAGCTTGACATTTAACTTTGCTTTGAGGTGCAAAAGTTAAATGCAACTCCTCTGTGATTTCATATAAACAGAAGAACACACATAGAGTGAAATTAAGAGCAGAAGGTTAAAAGTAATGATTAACAATATATTATTTTGTTTTTAAACCCAAATTAAAAGTGAGGACATCATGAAAAAACATCATAAGTTCTATAGATGCACAAAATTCTCACCATCATATGCAATTTACCTAAATAGTAACAATGTCCAAATCATCTTTTCTCCTAACTCGTCTTAATTGGGAACACTTGAATTACATTTATGGGGCTTGTGAAAAACCCTTGGCTGTTACATCAAAAGGCTTATTTATGCAGAGACATGGCCAATTGTAAGGGTTTCAGAAACTTTCAAGCAACTCTACAGGTATTCAACACAAAATAAAGCAGATACCACACACACTCACTAGTACCATTTATCTCAAAGGTGACTTCAAGGTTTCATAGGTGGGTGCAGCAGCACAAGCAATGTAGGTCATGGAGAGTATGATGGATAGAAAACGACAACAGAAGAAGCATTCACGGTGGTGGTGGACGTCTTCATAATGAAATGATGACATGTTGATCAATGAGGGTAAGGATACGATCAGTGCCAGGGAACAAAACACTCCCCCTGATCATCTCAGCCACAATGCATCCCACTGACCACACATCCACTTGGGATGGACATTAGGAAGACAGACAGGTGAACATGCAAATAAATGATAAAGAGAGAAAAAAATTACGTAAAAACAAAGTGAGAGAAAACCAAAGACAATTGCAAAGCCGCAACGATGAAAATGTAGACCATTCAGCAATGAGCAAGCTGCATGAGAGAAAAAAAAAAAAGCTAGAGACCATGAACATGTCAAAATTTATGTGCAACCAACAACTACCAATTGGAGATGAATTGACTTGTGCGTATTAGCATTTTCATGTAATTTCAAACCAAATAGCTTTAAAGAACAAACAAAGGAAAAAGTTGAACACAATCAAAAAGCCTTTATGAAGACTATTAAAGTAGAGGAAATACTCGGCAGACAGAAGGATACAGTCCCTTCCAGGGAAAAGGATTTTATGGCGAACCATTTCTGCCAGAATGCAGCCCACAGACCATATGTCCACTAATGAAGTAGACCACATTAACCAGAGCCAGTAAAAGAAGTGAGGAATGCATAGCAACAGGTTAGTTACACATAACAAGCTTGTTAGTGAGCATTTTCTTACAATTAGCTTTTCTTTTCAGAACAGGCATCAAGTGGATCCCCGAGTTACAGCTAGATTTAGTTCAACAAATTTATATGTATTTCCGATCCCAAAATAGAAACATTGGACAACAGATGCTGTGTTAAACTAATCACTCACCGTTGGCCTGGTAGCCCATGCCCAGGATAACTTCTGGTGCTCTGTAGTAGCGTGTAACCACATATGGCGTCATCAGGAGGCCTGTGGCTGCCGTCCGAGCCAAGCCAAAGTCCAAAATCTTCAGCGTGCAATCAGACTTGACAACTATATTGCTGGGCTTCAGATCCTGAAAAAAAGACATTAATCGGGTTAATCAGTTAGGAGGGGGGCTGTATCTGACGCACAGCTGAGATTCTCACTTTTACAGAATCAATGCCGTTTCTGGTTCGGGCAGACTGGTCTGTTTTACTTCAAACTGTGAGGATATGCTCTCCGAGTGTCCTTCTCGTTACTGATGCATATGGCAAAATGATACATTTTGTCATTGTCAATTTGGAGGATAGTCTGCATCAGCTGATGTCAGCTACACAAAATGTGCAGGAAATTCTGTAGTTTGTTCAAGGTCACTTGACATTTGAGATTGACCTCCCTGATTTTAGGCTCAGTCTGTTAACATTTTATACATGCATATTTTTAGCAGAGATTATTACAATACCAAATAGTTGCTTTACATTGTACCTAGAGTTTTTTTTAAATGCTTTTGTCAGTAGGTAAAGGACTATATTCATCCAGTGATCCTCTAATCATGCCACTTGACTGCTTGCCCTTACACTTCAGTGTCACGTATCATAGCAAGTTTACCAGCTCAGGACTTTGCACCTCAGAACATTGGCCCGACTTCAGGCTGTGTATTCGTGGCCAGCTGCTGCTCACCCTGTGTATGATCCCGGCACCGTGGAGGTGTTTGATGCCACACAACATCTGATAGAGCAGGTACGACAGCCTCTCATGGTCCAGCTCCATTTGAATCACTTGACACAGGTTGGCATCCATCAGCTCCATTACCAAGTATCTGATAGAAAAGAAAAGAGTTCATGATCCTGGCAGAGAGTCATCTTGGCAACAGGTACAGCAAGGTCTGATTCCCATAACTGCACAGGCTATTTTTATTGACTTACACATCTTGGAAATCTTCTAGCGATTTTTGTGGTGTGAATACATTTAATAGGCCAATGATCTGTGAATAGAAATCAAGAAAAATAACTAGCTTGGGACTTCACATCCATTTAAACATGCTCAGGCCACACAAAATGCTCTTTCTCCGTGTCATCTACTTGTGAAATAGAGGACACAGCTATTTTGCATGTTAAAATAGTGGCACACTTACATTTTTGTGATTGACACATTTCATTAGGACTAGCTCTCTGTACGCCCTCTTAGCATGGGTTTGATTTTGAAAGGGTCGACTCAGCTTCTTGATGGCAACATTTCGTTCAAGGATTTGGTCATAAGCAGAGCTGAAGGGCAAAGATAGCAAGAGAAACGCATCAAAAAAAGGCAACAACTGACATCAAGGCCTTTACTCTCCCAAATATGTCCAAAGCAATAAAATGTAGAGATGCACCATTCTGATTTTTGTTGCCATTTTTGTTTCCACTGTCAGGTTTTTGTATAGGTTTGACCAACCAGTTTAGATTTAAGCCAATTTAAATTTCTCTTTAGAAACTTTAATTTAGGTAGACTGAAGAACTGCTCTCTTCAGTCTTACTGATATGAACAGTCCATGTTTTGCATAAGGAAATTAAGTGTTAACATGCTTGTGTGAAACAATGTAGTTGCTGTAAAATGTGAAAATAAAAAAGTTCATGGAGTCGCCATCTTAAACTGGCCTTACCATGATTTGTGCAACTACTCAGCTGAACAGCACACTCAGCATAAGGTACAACATTAATTTAGATTCTTCTCTTGACACAGATTTCAAAAAGGTTGGCAACATTTATAACATTTTTGGCTTTAAAGGAAAAAACAACAACTTGACTATTGAGGCTTCCTAGTATCTCCTGAAAGTCATGCTCTCTCTCTTGCAGCTAAAATGAACTGCAGTCATGTCAACATGTAGAATATACAGTTTTCTTTTAAATGACTTCTTCTCTGACATTATGATACTGAAAATAGCCAACTGTGTGTGTTTTTTCACATTGATAAGCATTATTGTCAGCTCGATCTGGCACTTCGTATAGTACAATCAGTGAATGGGACCGAGCATGATTTTAAAGTTTTTGAGTGGCTGAACACAAGCTAGGACTAATCAAGCTGAAAAGTGCCCTAAAATGTTTAATTTAGGACAATTTCTCTATGTACAAAGTACATTTCTTAATAAATATCTTTTAAAAATAAAAAGGCACAGCTAATGTGAGATTCCAACTGAACAGTAGTCAGGGTCGATCAAACAACAAAACAAAAATTATTTAGATTAAGAGCCAATATCTCAGTGCACCTCTAATAAAAAAGTATAACACAAAATTCAACACAAAAATAGCACCAAAAGTTTATTGATCAAATGTTTCAGTGACGTGTAGCATACAGTGACCTATTTTTCACAGCATAGGTGTTAGCAGAACAAGGAGGATGCTGAACCACTCACCAGACGATTCCTTGTGCTCCTGAGCCGATGGGTCTTAGATTCTGGTATCGCTTCAGTACTGTAAACGTTGAATCCCCGACATCTACACTGTAGAACTCCCTGTCTCTCTTGTTTTTATTCATGGCAAAGTCTTCGATTACTGCTTTCTGTGCATCCAAAAATGTCCTCTGTGAAGAAGGAAACAGGTTTGAGTATCCAGCAGAGTGAGACCGACTCCACGGATATCGCAGGAGTTGCTGAGGCGAGTGGCAAGTAGCGAAAAACAGCAACGGAAGAAGAAAATCCTGCACTCAAGAAAACTGTTTAGACACTGCTGCATTTCACACTGATGCAATGCAATTTCCTTTCTCAGCAAATCCTGGAAACCCACATGGACTAAAGATTGAATGTCATCATTGGCGATAGCAAAACAGCAAGCAAATCAGAGCTCTGCTCCATCGCATGCAACAGAACTCTGGGTGACTGTACCATGCTGGAAAAACAACCATGGCAATAATTCCTCTGAGTTTGGAGTGCAGCCCAAGACAGCTCGCTTCTACAAGCGGGGTCTTTCACAGAAACATTTGCACAAAGGCACTGTGGCCTCACCTAAAACACAAAACGAAGGTTTGTGCCAGTGGAGACCGTCGACCGTTTGATTACAAGAAGCTCAAGCAGATCTTTCATTTTCTCCAACTCTTGCATAAACAGTGCCACCACCCTCCTCGGTCATCCACACGGCCGGCACTGAGTCCATATGAGGGAAATAATTGCCAGAACGAAGTGAGTCAGCTCCCCTTCTGTTCCGCCAACGTCACAAAGACGTCCATAACATCCACCTCCCTCGCAGAAATGAAAATAGACATGCAGCTTCTTTTTATAATTCAGACAGGAAGGCAGCTGTGCTTATTAGAGTTGTGATGTCTTGAATTCAGTTGATGTTTTCTTTTTGTGGTTGTCAGTGAAAGGAATCAAAATTGAGGCATTACAAAGAGGTTTTCTCAGTTTGCAGCTTTAGATGCCATAAATTCCAACAGACACACTCACAGCCGTAAATATTAATGGGATCATCTGTTCTGATGCAAGCAGCTGTGTGCTGCGTCAACAAATTCCCCTGAAATCACTTACACACTTTCAGATTGCACTTTTGGGTCAGTCACACACAAAACAGTCACATCGGTGCTCTGAAACTGCTCTCGAGTACGGAATCTGAGCCTGGCACTCCAGCTGACCGATGAAAGGTCACTGCAGTGTCCACCTACAGTCCAGGATCTTTCTCAGAGTGGATGCAGAAACATGTCATACTCGTCAAACACTTTCCATTAACTTTCTGACGTGCTGCCAGGAGGCAAGCATCAAAAGCAGAACCTTCAGCCTGCTGCACAGCCTCTCTGGTTCAAGCCTTTTCAAGATGATGTGCTTCACATTATTAGTCTTATTTTATGCTCTGACATGTCTGTTTATGTCTATTTTCTACCAATATTTTTAATACACAGAATTCCTCTCATGTTGCAGCAAGCAGCTCAGTTTACTCAGAAACTAATTTGAAATGGAAAGTGGTAAATCATGTGAAATGTCTGCTGCAAAAGCAGAAATATACTGTAACGTTGCTTTGTGAATTTAGTGCTAAAAATGGACTAAAATCTGGGTATATGTAAAACGCTGAATAAAACCAACGATTAAAACCCACAATTTACATGAACATTTTAACACAATGTTTTGCAATTCCTTAAAAATGTCAAACTAATGTAGATTCATAACACAGAGTGGTGTTTTGCACTCATTTATTGTTGATTCACTTATGGCTTACAGCTAATGAACACCTCATATTTAGTTTCTTAGAAAAGACTGCATATTACAAAACGCAATAAAAGGGGAATAACACAGACATGCCTTTCTACTCATAGACCAGGTTGCCAAGTTTTCCATCCAACTGGTTTGAAGGCATCTGACCTGAAATAAATAACCTCCAAAACACTGCATCCAAGCATTCCTTCACAACTGTGATAATGCATAAAGTTATGAGAACGATTGCAATTTGATCTATTGTGCGACTCCACTTGTGCACCTGTTCCTACCCCACTTTTTCCTTCCACTTACCTTTGCCTTTATATTCTCAATACAACATTCTGAAGAGAGAGCTTCTTTTGTAATGACCTTTTGTGGTTGAAGTGAGGGAGTCAGTGACGGTGTGCACATGATGTAGGTTATAACTGCTCACAAAATGCTAATGCTTGAAACTATTTAAAACGAGAAATGTTCCTGAAAAATACTATTCTTTTTGTTTTCGTAGGAAACATTAGCCTAGCAAATAAAATAAAAGGAGACCTCCTGCTTCTAAATCCCTCTTCCTGAAAGGAAATCAAGGTAAATCCCACGGTTACTTTGATTGTAATCTAAATTGACAGCAGTAGCCCCTTTTTGTCCTGACGGAGGCGGTTGAAGGAAAATGACTGAAGTGCTGCATCACGACACAGACATGCATACTGAACTGATGCAGCCAGATTAAGCCGGCTGGACGCCGCACACAGGCATATTATTATGGCAGCGATAATAATGGCACCCATATCGTAATATGACAGAGTGCGCTGTTGGTGCTGGCTGTATAGCCTGTGCCTAATTTGAACGCTGCAGCTATATTATCATATAACGGCGGGAGCAATCATTAACTGGGGGGATAAATTGAGCTGCAATATAAAAGTAAGGGGCTGAAGCAGCATGCACGCAACGATTTACGACCCTCCCCCCACGGCCCAAACAATGAGCAGCGCAGTCTGAGGAGCTGAGGTGTGAATCCTCATCTTACCTCTGTCATCAAATCAACAAGGGATCGATCCTGTTCTAAAGCGGATCCGGCGAACTTCGAACCGATCCGAAGCGGCTCCCCGATTGTTTATGCCGCCGCTGAAGGATGGTTTATCCCGTCGTGCGGCTTAAAAATACGTGACCTCACCAATTTCATTGCCTACGTTTCCAACCGGCTGCTACTGACAGGCCAGGACGCGCAGTGCGCACACAGGGCATGCGTCCCAGCAGCGCGTCACACACAGGCAGAGACACACCCACCGCCTCCTCCTCCATGCATCCATCCTTCCTGCCTTCCTTCCGTCTGCCCATCTATGCAAATGAAACAATGTTTTGGTCTACTTCCGTTCTCTTCTCGATAGGTTACGTTACTCTTTCTGCGTCTGGCTCCGCTTTGATTAGATACTTCCTGTTTCCAATTATGCTACAACAAGTCGAGGCTGCATATTGCCACTGCATGCTAATTTTTTATATGCCAGGCAATTTTGACAAAGACGACCAGGGAGGAAGTGGTACGAATCACTGAGCAGTCAGGAGGTCAAAAACACGTTTATCATGTCTGAAAATATGAAGTTTCTGGGAAAACTAATTCCTCTGCAATTTGTCCTTGGAAGATCAATGTCCTCAAATTGGTTAATTCTTGATTTTCTTCTTGAGAGAAACACTCTGGCATTGTACTCTTAGGACAATTTGATACATCAAAGCCACAAACTCCAGTATAATTTCTTTACATTTTATGTGACCAACAAAAAGCACTGCATAACTGTTGCTTGAATGAATACATGATAAAAAAAAATTACAAATAAAAATCTGAAATGAATGGCTTGATTATTCAACCCCCTACAATAGCTACTTTGTTGGATCATTTGTTGCAATTGCAACTTGAAGTCTCTATGATATGTTTGGATATTTAAATAGTTCATGTCTTTTATACCTCAGGCACAGATAGGGGTAATGGTGTAATATCAGCAAAAATTTTTGAAGTCTTGCCATACATTCTCAATTGGATGTAGGACTGGCCTTTGATTGGACCGTTCTGTCATATAGATATGCTTTTATGTAAAGTGAGGTACTTCACATATCAAATATGATATAGGTAGAAACTAGCAAAGAGAGTGAAATTGGACACATAAACACTACAAATGAATAGCTTACTGTGTATTTTCAGCTATCCTAACTTATACACAAACCCATGAACATATTTTTAAGTTATAAAGGCAAACATTTATAACTGGTGGTCTAACGTCCTTTGCTAGAGCTTGTTCCTGGGTCACAGTTATTCAGTTTTTGTACTGAAAGTTCTGGAAATGTTTCCATTCTTTTTATCTCTTAAGTCATTCCTGATAAAGCAAAGATCAACAAGCTTCACCTAATCTCTTTTGGGATTTTCCACATTAAACTGCTTATATTTACCAAGCTAATAATCTATCTCAAGATCTCAAAGTAACATTAAAGGCCCTCTTTTAGGTTTTCTTAGTATCCCTGCCCTGTATTTACCTTTTCCATCTTCCTGCCAAGCAGTTTTTCTTCTGGTCATCAGGGATCCTGAAGAAAAGTATTCCCACTACTACTCCCTCTATGTTTTTCTAGGGGAATGGTGTATTGAGGATAATATGCATTTTCTATGAAGCCTACAAAATAAAATCCTGGTTCCATTTCCACAACACCTTCTACCAGATGTTTTCTTGGTCCCCAATATGTGGTGACTTGAGCTGAACAAAAGCTTCTTTCTTGCACGACTAATGGTTCTCCTGTCATAAACAAATCTAGCGATGATGTTTTATTTGTAAAAGCTCTTAAAAGCTAGCACACCTTTATGTCTTATCAAAGCAAATCCCAATAAACTACATTGACTTTTGTGATTGTGTCAACGTTTGAAATAGTTCAAGAAAACAATTTGGTTTTACATCGTTTTATGTGGACACTTTTTTTTAACATCAAGAAGCTGTCAGTAAACTTCTTATTAGACTTGCAGGCTAATAACATTACAGTCACCACCTCCCTTTAATTTCAATTTAATGTCATATTTTCAATGGTCTGATCTGTAAAAGCATAATTTTTTAAATATGTCCAGAGTGGGGTCTAAATTGAGGATAAGGACATTCATTGGCTCTGCAGAAATCTGAACAGCATAGTAGAACAACGTGAGGGCACCATCTACAGCTCATGCATCATTTCTATACGCTACAACGGTCGTGCCATGCTCTGCGCATGTGACTCCAGAGCGGTGCCAAGGAGGACATTCGGTAAATTTGCGTTAACTCCGCGCTCAGCGGCAGGACACATGCTCCCTGCACCTACCTCATAACCCCGGATCGTTTTCCTTTCTTTCTTTTTTCCCTTTTTTTTTTATTTTTTTTATTTTTTTTTTTTAATCCTGCCTCTGTGCAGATATCCCGGGGCCTGCAGAGAGACGCTGAGCGCAGCGGCATGAACAGGACTCCCAGCAGCAAGGCAGAGCTACTACGTCTTCTTACCCCTTGTTCGAAGAGAGCCCGCAGTGTTATGATCATCGTCGGGGAGCTGCCCTGCAGCAGCGGGATGCTTCGTCCTTCCCAGACTTCAGCGTAGCAGCGCATCTACCCCCGGGGATCCACCGCACCTTTGGGCGTCAGACGGATTTAGTTAAATCGGTGTAGCTGATCTCATACCACCCGCTTATTGGTGGCTCTGACCTGTCGCTGTCAAACCGCGATGTTAATCCAATCAAGTGTTTAAAAGCAGAGAGGCTAAGAATAGAGGCAATTGCTGTAAAAAAAAAAAAAAAAAAAAAAAAAAGAAAAAAAAAACAGAGAGAGCGAGAGAGAGAGAGAAAGGGGGGGGGGGGGGAGAGAGAAAAAGTTTGATTTCTTCGGCAGAAGATCTGCTTGGGGTGTAGAGAGCAAACGATTCAGGCTCCATGTATAGTTAATGTCATTGATGAATCACCTGCCAGGAGCGAGCAGCCTTTACTGGGAGGACATCACAGCGGCATTGCGATGATCGCAGAGATTGCTTTGGATCTGTGGTGGGAGCACTGAAGACAAATAATCTACACAGGATCAGAAACTGGTTACATATGCTGCCAGGTAATTTTTGTTGTTGTTGTTGTTGTTTTTTGTTTTATTCTGTGTCTCCTTCGTTTCAGTGTGTTTTCTGGCAATTTGCACCGCTCTGGTCTATTTACAGTTTTATAATGGTGATCTGTTGGTTAATGGAGATTTTAGACAAAACGAGACACCCAGTGTTGACACTG